ATGTGAGATCCAAAAGCATTTGTGACACCTGCATTGGGATAAAAATTGTAAAAAACACCAACATGGGAACACATTCCAAAGGAACCTGGGTTTCTAGAACACCCAAATTACCCACCAGAGGCAATCTGAGAGAAATTCAACTTGATATAGGAAAAATGAAATAATGACAGAAACAGAGCCCAGAAGTTTAGATCATCTCTGTTCTACGAAACAAAGTCTTCCCTCTTGGTATGAAAATCCAGTCCTCACACTATCTGGACATGAAATTACTTTTCCCACTTTACCTCTCAATGGGTTCTAACAAATGTTCTGAATTCCACCTGTCCTTTGATGCTTACTATTATCTTCCAACTTCTCCACTTTGCCATTGTGCAACTGGAGCCTCTCTTTCCAGATTGTCTTCCACCTCCTCCTCTTTTCCTTTATTATTCCTTCCCCACTTTTTAAAAAATATATTTTATTGATTTTTTACAGAGAGGAAGGGTGAGCTATAGAGAGTTAGAAACATTTATGAGAAAGAAACATTTATCAGCTGCCTCCTGCACATCCCCCACTGGGGATGTGCCCGCAACCAAGGTACATGCCCTTGACTGGAATCGAACCCGGGACCCTTTAGTCCACAGACTGACGTTCTATTCACTGAGCCATACCGGTCAGGGCTATTCCTTCCCACTTTGCACTAGGAAAATCTATCAGACACCACTTTGTTCGTTGTCCAACCCAACGTTTACCTTTCTCTTCCCAGCCATGGGAAGGCATATGACATCTGATTAATCTGATTTTAAAAGGATTAAGTTGATGGCACAATGCACAGTTCCTTTGTGGTAGGCTGATCATGACCCACAAATATATCAGGTCCTAATCCCTAGAATATTTAAATATTACTTTTTTTGGGAAAAGGTGCTTTTGAAGATTTTATCAAGGATCTTAAAATGGAGAGATGATCGTGGATTATCCAGTTGGGCCATGAATGCCATCACAAATGTTATGATAAGAGGGAGCAGAGGAAGATTTGACACACACCCATAGAAGAGAAGGCCATGTGAAGATGGAGACAGAGATTGGAATGATGTGGCCATAAGCCAAGGTATGTTGGCAGTCACCAGAAGGAGTGGATTCTCCCCTCAGGCTTCCAAAAAGTGCAGCCCTGCCAACACATTGATTTAACTCAGAGATACTGATCTGGGCCTTCTGGTGTCCAGAACTGTAAGAGAATAAATTTCTATTGTGCTAAGCCACCCAGTTTGCAGAATCGGTGACAGCAGTCATAGCAGACTAATATTATCCTTCATCCCCTCCTTCCCTTTCTTATTTCTTTAAAGATAAACATGAGACCCAGAACAACAATCAAGAAAACAAAATCCACGATGATGAAAATGACAGAGACAGAAAAGAGCAAGCTCAGGATTCTCACAACATCCCTATTGGCTTCAGCCTAGGACCCCTTACCTACAAGTTACTGGTTGTACAAAAGAAATGTATGTCCCATCAGCTTAACCCACAGCAATCCTATATGGAACAGCTCTCCTTGACCC